ACAATTTGGAGGTGTGCTTATGGTCATTGTCCTGTTGAAGGATGAAATTGGCTCCAATCAAGCGCTGTCCACTGGGTATGGCATGGCGTTGCAAAATGGAGTGATAGCCTTCCTTATTAAGAATCCCTTTTACCCTGTACAGATCTCCCACCTAACCTGCACCAAAGCAAACCCAGACCATCACATTACCATGCTTAACAGATGGCATCAGGCATTCTTCCAGCATCTTTTCATTTGTTCTGCATCTCATAAACGTTCTTCTTTGTGATCCAAACACCTCAAACTTGGATTCATTCGTCCACAACACTTTTTTCCAGTCTTCCTCTGTCCAATGTCTGTGTTCTTTTGCCCATCTTAATCTTTTTTCTTTTATTGGCCAGGCTCAGATATGGCTTTTTATTTGCCACTCTGCCCTGAAGCCCAGAATCCCACAGCCTGTTTGTGCCTGTTTCTGCTGTCCTCTGAAGGAAGTAGTACACACCATTGTAGGAAATCTTCAATTTCTTATCAATTTCTCGCATGGAATAGCCTTCTTTTCTAAGAACAAGAATAGACTGTCGAGTTTCAGATGAAAGTTCTTTTTTTCTGGCAATTTTGAGCATTTAATTGACCCCACAAATGTGATGCTCCAGAAACTCAATCTGTTCAAAGGAAGGTCAGTTTTGTAGCTTCTATAATGAGCTAAACTGCCTTTAGATGTGTGAACATGATTACACGAGTTTTCTAATCACCAATTAGCCTTCTGAGCCAATGAGCAAACACATTGTACTATTAGAACATTGGAGTGATAGTTGCTTGAAATGAGCCTCTATACTATATTAAGTCCAAACCACATAAGGGCAATATGACATTAGTGATATTGTATTGCTTTTTTTTGTTTGTTTTGTTTTCTTTTACTGCCCAGAAAAAAAGGAACTAGAAATAAAAAGTTATCTACTTACACTTTTCGAATCCTGGTTTTGTCCGATTACTTCCATCGTGTTTAAAACTTTAAAGAGAGATCAGAGTTAGAAACCAACTTTATTTAAACTACTATATATGGGCATTTTGGACTGGTTTCGGGAATTCAAAGGAGTAGCATTGCAATTACTTGACTTTTTGTTGTTTAAATTGCTCAGAAATCAGCTTCATTCCTGATTCCCCCAGATGGTTGTAACTTAGGTCCAGTTCCACCAGGTGGGAGGGGTTGGACTTAAGAGCTGAGACCAGATATTCGCACCCCGTCCGTGTGATACAGCAGCCAGATAACCTGAGAACATCCAAGGGTTGATGCAGCTGTTAGATTGATTGCCACATACTCTTGTTAATGGTAATTTGTCGAAAACATCTAAACAATGAATACGGAATAAAGTTGCTTTAACACCAAAGAAAGAAATAACATTATTATGTTTTTCCGTAAAAGTTCAAAAAAATCCACTGGACTTGGTTTCCAAGATTTGAAACAGGTTTCAGGACATCAGACATTTGAATTGAGAAAGCTTCCTGGAGAGGTGGCCAAATGTCTTAAAATCTTGTAAACCAAGTCCAGTGAATTTTTTTGAACTTTTACAGAATGACTATGACCTGGATGACTGAGAATCTTCATCAGCAACATTATTATGGTAGGATTAGGAAAATAGATTGTATTTAGATGTATATAAATACCTCAATACTTTGAGTTTGCAGCAGGGACTCGACAGCCCGCCACAGAGTAACTTCACACCTGAATCCATCAGATCGTTGTTGCTCAGGTCCAGATCTCGGAGGGGAGAAAATGGGAACTTTAAGCCAAAGACCAGGTGTTCAATCCACTCTGCAGTCACCTTGCAGTCATTCAAACTATAACAAATGTACAACCTGATGTTAGTAACAAGTACATGACACATGTACAACCCTAATTTAAAACCTGCTACACATTGATCACTATTTCCTATAAAAAAGAACAGAACTGTAGTCATTGTTTGTTTCCCAAAAAAAAAAAATCAAGTTTAAATACTATATGTAAAACCAATCAAAGAAAAAGTGACAACTATTGTTTTTGAGAATCTTTCCCACTGAAAAGAGTGAGTTAAAACGTTTTTTTTTTTTTTTTTTTTTAAAGGGGTGACTCCTTTGGCGTTTGGCTCATTTCCCATTGGCGGGGCTCTAACCACTAGCTGGCAAGCTTTGTCACCTCTGTCCTCCTCCGCTGCATGTCTGGTAACACCATCACAAAGGGTGAGTGTTGATTATGTCACCAGTGCAACAGAAATCAGGAAAATAAACAACAGAGAGGAGAGCAATATGTAAGAAAACCAGGGCATAATTTGTATGCTTTATTGTTTTGTTCTTTTATCTGGCTGAATATCTCTCACCAGTGCTGCTCCATTTTTTAACAAATGTAAACAGAGTTGTTTCGGCTTGATAGATCAGAAGAGACTGGTGCAGTGTTAACGTCCGTACGTTGCACTCAGTGGTATTGGGTAATTTAGCGGGTCAACACTGGTCTGGAGTTCCAACCGCATGCCGGTCAGAGCTGAGGAGATTTTAATATGGATCGCTTTCTTAGTCATTTGACCTGGTAGACACGTCTGAGTTAGCTGTTCCCACTGTCACTAAAAGTCGACTGTTCCTGAGTTTAAACAGGTCTTTTGACCAGTGGGAAAGGGGTATTAGTCAAGCTATTTTTTACTGTTGACACAAGGTGTTCATCAGTTCTAAACTAAAACCTCAATATAAATTTTTTGTCCCCGTCTTTAACTAAAATTGCCAATCAATATAGTTCTAAGTCACTTTCCTCTGTCCTCAGCAATACCATGAAACCACAGGACTCTTTGCCTCTGCACCTGTATACAGCCTCTTTCTGCAATGACATCACTGGCAATGCAGTTTCGCATTGAAAATAAAATCCTTATGGTGACTTTTAAGGCCCTTAACCACCTTGCCCCCCCCCATATTTGTCAGGCCTCCCGCATGTTCCCACCCCCTCCCATGCTCTCAGATCCTCATAGAGTATCTAAGAGGAAAGCACATTAGCTTTCCTGCAGCAGGCCTGAAATGCTAAGCTGGAAACAATTGCTTTTCCAATAGAGCTTACAGAGGTTGCAGTTTAGGCAAAGTTAGGGAAAGATTAAAAGTAAACAAATTTAGGTTTTTGATGATTTTTTTTATCATTTCATGTGCTTACTGTTGTGTAAAGCAAGCTACCCTATGCCGAGAAATACCTGGCTGCCGAGAATTACCTCCACTCTTGTACATTTATGAGAAAAAGGATTGAATTATGACCGAAAATGGAACTCTTAAACACATTCTTAATGTTTTCATATTTCTTATGAAGGGGTGCCCTAAAATTGAGAATTTTGGGGAAAGATAAATTCGAACGAATACGATTTTTACTTGTATGGAGACAAGCTTTAGTCGAAGTGCTACAGTCAGTGTCCGAACCTCAGCTAGGTGTTAGACAGTGATGGGCAGTAGCGCCGCTACATGTAGCGAAGCTATTAGTTTAACTACATTTTCCAGTAGCTTGACCGTAGCGTCGCTGCTTTATTTATGAAGTAACTTTCCTGTAGCGACGTTATTGTTTTGATCAAGTAGCGACGTAGCGTCCACAAACGCTACAAAGTCCAGGGCATAACTAAGAAATGAAACCAGGTTTTCTATTCTGAAACAACAATCAGCCACAAAACTACTGTAAATAGCAGTTTCAGCTGGCGTAGTAGCACAGGCACACTCAGTAGGGTTAAACAAGCGCACCCTTTCCGAGCTTGTGATTCTATTGGCTGGAATGGTTGCTAGGCGACAATCCAACTGCAATCCGAGAGAGCAAAAAAAAAATCCACAAGCAGAGCCTTCGGGTTTGCGAGTGTATGAGACTCGTGAAGAGCGCGGATTGTGCGTGAAGAGAAGGAGGCAAGCGAGAGGAGAATATCTGTGCAAGAAGCATTAAATCTGAGAGAAGAAACAA